TTTCCATTTCCTCAGTGGGTTTCTCTTCATGACAGAGGGACTGAAAATCAGTTGTGGAAGGCATGGGCAGCCTTAGGTCCCATAAACATCACGAATTTGCAAGGGACCTTCCATGATAATATGACAATGTGAGCTTGTTTGACTGGTAATCATGCATTTATGTGGGGGAACAGCACAGAATGTTAATATAATGGCCGTGGATTCAGGGGAATATAATGTCACTTGTATTAATTGCAGGATGTCTGAATGTATAGGAACCAAGATTAGAGACCAAATTATTTTTGTTATTACACAACAAAAGTTTGCCTTGGTGCCTGTGAAAAGCAAAGATTGGTATGAGTCATGTTCTGATCATATTTTTGGAATAATAGACCAAAGTAATCAATTAGCAGTTGCTAGGAAAAAGAGATGTATTTCATGTGTAGTATTAGGAATTGTTTCACTTATAGCTATCATAACTGCTTCTGTATCTTTATCTCAATCTATATCTATCGCAAGAAATGAAATGGTTCAAGCTGATTTTATGAATCAGTTAGCTCGCAATGTATCCTAAAGGTTTTCAAACACAAAAAAGGATAGATGACGAATTTTATCACATGCTTGAGGGAATGAAGGAAACCATTACTGAAATAGGTGATGAATTGGATATTTTAGAATATAGAACACATTTGAAATGTGATGATAGGTATGAATTCATTTGCCTTACCAATGTTAAATACAATAAATCCCAATGGGATTGACAAAGAATACGCAGGCATCTAAATGGGCCGTTTGGAAATTCTACTGTTGCAGTGGATATTGATGACTTATACAAAATTGCTAAAGATATTGCAAGGGCGGCTGATGAAGATTTGATGCCAGATAAAACTGCCCAACATATACTTGATTGGCTAGATAAACTCCGTAACCCTTTTGATAACCTTGGACATTGGCTTATGTCTCTATTGTCTTCTTTGTTGCCACTATGTTCGCTATTGCTGGCCATGCTGTGTTTTGGACCATGTTTGCTCAGGTGCATAGCTAATCAGATAAAGGACTTTGGGACTGAGCTTCATATGCTCCGTTTCCAACAAAAACAAAAAGTGGGAATTGTTAGGGATCTATAAGGATGTAGAGAGCCACAGGCTGTTCAAGAGCTCTCACTGATGGGCGGAGGCCCCCCTCGGGTGCTGATCTTTGAGCAAAGGTCTCCTGGTTCAGTGCTCCATTGTATGGATCTGTAACAATCTTTAACTCCCCTAGTGGACAGTCTGTAGAAACTTGTGATAGACAGTTGGTGGTGTGAGACTGACCTCAGAAGAAAGACTATGACTGTACATATAGATCTGGGAATCATCTGCATAGACAACTCAATCTATAATCGCTGATAAGATCACTAAGTGAATAAGTGCAGAGAGAACAGAAGTGAAGGTCTAGGACAGAGTCTTGTAGAAAACCTAAACTCAGTGGCTGTGACATGGATGAAGATCCAGCGAAAGACACAAAGAAAGAGAAACCAAATAAACAGGAGACCCAAGAGAGAGCAGTGCCATGAACATCCAAAGAAGACAGTGTATTTAGGAGGAGATGGTAATAAACCGTGTTAAATGCAGCAGAAGCAGCTATGTGGTGCAGTGATAGAGCACAGTGTCACCCAGGTCTCAATGAGTGCCAAAAGATGGAAGGAGCTAGAAGAGTTTTAAATGAAAAAGTTGATAATTATCTAGTGAGAGTCCCAGATGGCACAGTGGAAGGGATGGGCAGATTAGACAAAAGGAAAAGTCCCTGCCCTCAAAGAGCTTACATTCTAATAAGAAGAACAACGTGTATGAATAGTACATAGATATATAAAGTATACAAAATTAATAAAGAGTAGATTTTGAAGCAACTTACTCACACTCTTCACTTCTCTGCTCCTATACATTCACTGAAATAGTGATGACTGAGTTAACCACAAATTGATGTGGCTTACCTGGCTTCTCACTACCGTTATCCTTTTAATCCTCCTAATGGAGTCTTTATGCTACTTGTCACAGTAGCTTTTAAATATGCCTCAATATCCCCATCCCCCAATCCCAGCAGAAGACTTTAGCTCACTTTACTGGGGAAATGGAGGCTCTCTCCCTGCGTTCCCTCTTCTTCTCCTCTTATGGCCCCTTAAAATGATTTCCCATGTAGGCATATATGAACATAGGGGACACTAAGACAAGGCTTTACATTCTGTCGAGAGAGACAGAAGTACACATATAAGGATCTAGAACTAAAGGCCATTTTATGGGAAAAGGTACTGTTAACTAGGGTAATCAGAAATGGCTTCATGTAGGAAATGAAACCAGAACTGACACTGCAAACTAGGGCCCCCAAGAGGCAGAGGTGAGAAATGAATGCATTCCAAGCATGGGAGTCAACTTGTACTAAGGCAAAGAGATGGAAACTGGAATCACTAAAAGTGATTTTGAGTGACCCAAAGTCCTTCTGTTTGAACTCTGTAAAGGTCATCCATCATGTGGTAGAAGATATATGACTAGTATCTCCCCACCATGTGGGATGAACTAGTTCTAATCTTTAAAACATGTATAATGGCACAGGTATAATAGATAATATGGACGGCATATACACAATGCATAATTATATTTCTTGCCTTCTCAATGGGTGGAGGAGGGAAAGACTTTGGAAGTGAAAATTTTTAAAGGTATTAATTAGATTTTTCTTGCCTTCTCAATAAGTGGGAATGGAAGTAGAAGGGGGAAAGCACTTGGAGCTAAAAATAAAATTTAATTTAAAAAATAACAAAAGTTATTGAAACCATCCTAGAGACTTTATTCCCTGAAAGGATTAAGGCCTGTGCTACTGAGATGGCCTCCTAGTTTCCTGAGTACAAAAAGCCATGAAGAGTTCTAACAGCTTCCTTAGACTTGACTACTGGACCACCCTGGGCAAAACAGAGTCCAGGAAGCCACAGTCAACTGTCCTGTCTTTAGTGTCTTTTCCCTGCTATTGCTTAGTGCTTTGCTAATAGTTAGATGGACACTTGTCTCATTCCATTTTCTAGTCTTGATTCGGAGGTACCAACCTGACCTACTGCAGCCCAGGCCATGGCAGATACTTTTCACTAACATATGACTCTCTCTTTATGGCTAGTGTGATACTGATGATTGAAGCTCTGATAAATAAAGATGCCTCTTGTTACACCAATCAAAGACTCTTCTATGTTCTCAGTTTATCTACAGGAGGCAGCTTATCAGGGATAGCTTTCATAGGTATACTTGGTCCTATCTGCTGAAATTTTCATTACCGTTTTTTTAATTGTACAAAGGAAGAGATCATATTCACTACCCCTTTTAGTAATTCCATGACTATGAAGATAGGTTGTTACTGTAGAAAAGCATGCTCCCCACGCTTTCAATATTGTGTTGTCTTCATCATGGAACCATCTTTGTGTTTTATTTTGAATGTATTTTTATGCATTCTGACAACACTTTAATATTTTCATCACAAAAAGGTGGGATACAGAAGACTTGAAAGTTATGTTTCCAGATTTGAGAGCTAAAGATTTGATTTCACGTGAAAAACAGCTTTCACCAAAGACACGTACACAGGGATGTACTGGGGCTGTTAAGTAATGTTTTTGGTGCCCTCTTATTACTTTGGGTGAAAAACCAAGCAAGGCAAAACCACACCTTGTGGTGTTGCTGGTTCACTCTATAGTATACCCTTGTTCTTTTCTAATCCCTCAGAGACCTTGACTTAAGTTTTTTTTTCCATTCTTTAAGATTCATTTTGTAGTGTCTCTATCTAGATAGGTTCTGGGTGTGCTACAGCATATTCACTCCTAGATAGTTTATGCATTTTGTAGTTATTTTGAATGGGACTTCTCTTTTTATTATTACCTCCTGAATTTTGTAATAACTATATTAAAATGGTGTTGACTTTTGTAGGTGGGTTTATTTTCTAACAATTCTGTAAAGTGCTTTCCCTAAAATGCAGATCTGATCATATCACTTCCCGCCCATCCTCCCCTCACTAAACTCCGGTGGCCCCTTTCACCTCCAGGAATTAATACAAAATGCTCTGTTTGGCCTTCAACGCCCTTCAAACCCAGACCCCTGTTCCCTTGCCAGTCTTCTTAGGCCTTACTCCCTGACACGTATTCCGTGATGCAGTAACAGTGGCCTCCTGACTGTTCTGCAAACAAGACATGTCAACCCAGCTCTGGGCATTTTCTCTGGCTGTCTCCCATGTTTGGAATGCTTTCTCTCCTTGCTCCAACTACTGACCTCTCTGCCTTCCTTTAAGTTCCAACTAAGATTCTACCTCCTACTGGAAGCCTTCCCCAACCCTTCTTGATTCTAGTGTCTTCCATTTTCATTATCTCCTATTTATTCTGTAATATAGCTTGTTTGTACACACATATTTGTGTGTTGTCATCTCCCCCCCGCCCCAATACCAGATTGTGAGCCCATTGAGACCAGGGACTTCATCTTTTGCCTCTCTTTGTGCACTCAGCACAATGCCTGGCATATAACAGGTACTTATAAATGTTTAATGCTTGTTTGAATGAGACACGTCACTTCTCTGTACCTCAGATAACTCATACGTCATATTTGTCCACATGATTCTTAAGACACATTTCAACTTAAAACACGATTCCAGAGGATTAGTGATAAAAAATGCTACCCACCTCCTGACAGAGAGGTGAAGGACTAAATATGCAAAATGAGACACAAATTGTTGGACCTGGACAATAGTTATTTGTTTTGCTTGACTATACATGTTTCTTACAAGAGGGGCACTGAAAAGGGCAAAATAGGAGAGAGAAAATAGATATTGGTTGATTGAAAAAAAAAATCAGACCTACATCAGACATAGGGAGGGTCTAAGTCTTCTAAAAAAAGAACATTTGATGTTGAAGTCCCTGAATATGATTTGTCTAAAGAAAGAAGGAAGAGAAGTGAATGAAATATGTCCATATTTTTAGGAATGAGACTGCATTTCAGGAGAGAAATAACAAAATAACTCACCTGGGACAAGGCTGTTAGGCTTCAGAGGCCATTCTCTTCACCACTTTCTCACTTTTTCATTAAAGTCTTGAGAAGCTAAAACCAGGGGAAAGAGAACTACGTTAAGCAGAAGATAAACTTTATCTTGCGTTTCCTAAACTCACCAAGATAGAACTGTAAGCACCTAAGCTGGGCATCAGTTCCACGGTTCTCTATAGAGGAAGAAGGCAAACCTACCCAAGAACAAATTTACCTTTACCTAAAATCAAAGGGAAAAGCCACAGATATTACTGCCCAAGACCTGGATTCGAAGCTACCACTTCTAGTGAGTTCCAAGGGATAGACAGGGCTCCAGGAAAGGGAATTAGTTGACATGAGTCAAATTCACAGACATTCCCCCTACATTCTGCATGATACTGAGTAGGCCAACCAAGATCTCTGTGGTTCAATCACCCCTTTATTGAACTAAGAAAAATATGTTCATTCCCCTCTATTCCTCAAAGGATATGCATAAAGATTAATTTGCTGAAATCTTAGGAGAAAACTTTGTGATACTAATGCACTGTTGGAGTTACAAAGTGGTTGGACGATTCTTGAGAACCATTTTGAACTATAAAATTGTGCATACACTTTGAACCAGCAATGCCACTATTAAGTCTGTAACCTAAAGAGATCAAAAGGAAAAGGACACTATTTGTACAAAAATATTTATAGCCACTCTTTTTGTGGTGGCAAATATTTGGAAATTGAGGGGATGCCCATCAACTGGGGAGTGGCTGAACAGTTGTGGTACAGGACTGTGATGGAACACTACTGTGCTATAAGAAATAATGGTTATGGTTTCAGAAAAACCTTGGAAGTGTTCTATAAACTGATGCAAAGTGAAGTGAGCAAAACCAGAATACTGTATACAGTAACAGCAATGTTGTAACAATGATCAACCTTGAAAGACATAGTTACTCTGATCAAGACATGATCAAGTGATCCAAGGCAAAAGGAGGCATGATGAAAAGATGCTATTCATCTCCACAGAGAAAACTGATGAGCTCTAAGTATAAACTGAAGCATATTCTTTTCACTTTATTTTTCTGGTTTGTGTGTGTTACTGTCTTTTGCAACATGACTAATATTGAAATGTTTTGCATGTCCTCATCTTTATAATTGATAGCCTATTGCTTACCTTCTAAAAGGATAGGGAAGCAGTGGGAGGTAGGGAATTTGAAATTCAAAATGATTAAAAATGAATATCAAATTTTAAAAATGTAATTGGGAAATATTTAATGAAATAAATAAAATCTATTTCTCTATTTTTAAAAAACCTTTGAGACCAGACAGGAAAATAAATAACAAAAATGGGTAAAAGGGAATTGACATCCCCCCCACACACTTTTCAACTTCCTTTTGTGTGTCTGTTTTCTTCCATTAGAGTGTAAATTCCTTGAGGGCAAGAACTGAGCTTAGAATCCTGCCTGGCCCATATTAGGTGCTTAATAAATGTTTATTTACTGACTGAAGTATGAGGATCTACCAAGCTATTTTCAAAAGTTCAAATCATAAGGCCCAAAGTTACTGAAAGATTTTTAAATTGTTGAGCTACTTATTTCCTGTGATCTTTGACTGTGGGATATTATTGATAAAACCCTGATTTCTAAAATGTACAGAGAACTGACACAAATATTTAATACCAAACTGTGCCACGATACAGGGAGACCAACAAGGTATTTTAAAAAGAATTACAAACTTTAAATGGCCATATAAAACATAGTCTAAATTACTAAAAATAAATAAAACCACACCATATAAATTGGCAAAGATAAGAAAACATGGGGCAGCTAGGTGGCGCAGTGGATAGAGCACCAGCCCTGGAGTCAGGGGGATCTGAGTTCAAATTTGGTCTCAGACCAGACACTTGACACTTACTAGCTGTGTGACCCTGGGCAAGTCACTTAACTCCAATTGCCTTGCAAAAAAAAAAAAGGTAATAAAACATGGGAATAATAATAATAATATATCACTTTAAAGTCTACAAATATTTAACACATATGATTCCATTTAATCCTCACAACAACCTGGGCTCAATCAGTATTAGAAGAGCTATGGAAAGACAGGCCACTGATGAGAGAGCTATGAAATGGTCTAACTATTGTGAATTTCAATTTGAAATTATGCAAGAAAAGTAACTCAACTATTCATACTCTGTGACAGGATAGATTTCCAGCTAACTACAAAGACTCGTAGGAAACAGAGTAAAATGAGCAAAACCATGACAACAAATTATATGACTACAATAACATACAGGAAAATAACTTAAAAGCCTTCAATTTCATGTAAAGGACATTTTCCCTTCTAGAACTGCATGTCCATTTGCTTTGCTTAATAATATTTATTTGTTAAAGAGGAATGATTGTATTGGGAGGAAGCAGTTGGTAGGCAGAGACTGAGATACAAAAAAAGAAGAAAGCAGAAATTAAATATTTTTAAGATATGCAGATGAGAGAAGGAAGTTCATATGAGTTACATCAACAAGCAGTGCAGCTTTGCTACTACCATGCTAAATTTAAGTCACAAAAATAATAAAAATACCTAATGAGTTCAAAATTTCATTATAATTTCCTTTTTTTGTTCTTTATATAGGAAAATGTTCATGTTTATTGTTTAAATTCATAATGAAAATTTAATTAAAAAAATAAAACTATGCACATATGTCATGTACCCATGTACATATAACACAAAATGATATGATAAAGCTGAGTTCACCTTCAAGGCCCTGAAAAATATTAATAGTTGCCATTTATATATGTCAATTTAAAGGTTACAGAGTACTCTGGATCCATTATCTAATCTGGTTGTCCAAACAAATGAGTAAATTAAGGCTCAGTTTAATATATATGATATACAATAATGTAAATTATGTTACAGCATATAATATATAAGCAACTTATATAGAAAAAATCTTTATTTAAATACAATTGGTTTCGTACACATTTTGTTTTATATATTTTAAAACATGATTCTGAGAGTCCAGAGATGTCATCAGACTGTTCAAGGGATCCAAGACACGAAAAAGGGTTAGGAACTTAGCCAGAGAAAAGGTCTTCAGGATTGTACCTGACATATTTATACTGCCAAAAGTCACACAGCTAGTAAATATATAAGGAATCTGAAGCCAGGGCTTCTTGATTTTCAAATTTTGATCTCTATCCACTAACCCAGCTTGAAACAGGCAATAAAAAACTGAAAAGGAAGACCAAATAATTAATGGTAGAGAGAACCCTAGTAATCATCTCAGTCAATTCCCTTCTTTTAGAGGATATAACCTAAAAAGCTTAAATGATCTTTTCACAAAGCCTACGTTTGACCAGGTTGCATCCCTCCTCAATGAATTCGAAAGCTTCCCTATCAACTTTGGGATCAAACATAAACTTCTATGTTTGGCTTCTAAAGTACTCTTCAACCTGACCTCAAACTACACTTCCAACCACAGCTACCCCAAACTCCTTTTTTGTGCTCTATGGTCCAGCCAGACTGTCCTTGCTCCTCACCCATATTAATTTCGTCTCCATGTCATCCACAGTGCGGCCCCACCCCCACCTCAGACAGCCCTAGCCCCAATTCAGTCCCTCAGCGCCCCGCCCCCACAAACGGTGTGGTCCCCGCCCCCAGCCCCTCCCCCATCTCCTCAGCCCCGGCGGGGAGGCGGGGGAGAAGGGGCCCAGCCGGTGTCTGTCCAAAGGAGAGGGAGGAGTGGGAGAGGGAGGAGTGAGAGAGGGAGGAGGGGCGGGCCGACGCGGGCTAGCTGGCACACCTACGGTGACGCTAACACATTCACTCACAATCACTCCCCCGCGGCAAAACAAAAACAAAAACAAAAACAAAACAAAAGAACCGGCCCGAATCCCTATAGTCCAGGTATTGCGCCTGCGCACATTCAGGAACGAACTCTGATTCCCAGAATCCATCGGGAATCCAAAGACTGTGCCCGCGCCCGGAGGCTTCTGGTCTACGCCGGGGTGGATTCTGGGAAACCTCAGTCTCGTCCCATGAACCCATCGCAGTCCGCAGCCTTCTGGGAATCGTAGTCCTGCGGCTATTTCTGCCCTGGTCCTCCCATTGTTGTTGTTGTTTTTCCGGAGAAGCACCAATGACGTCCAAAGTGACGCCCAGAGTGGCATGAATAGGGTTTAAGCGAGGCAAAGCTGCCCAGAGTCGTCAGCCTCACTTTCCTGCAGAGTCCTCCAAGTGCAAAGACTGGCGAGGACCGGCATGTAGTGGATGACCTTGGCGTGTTCCCTGTCTGACAAAGCTTCACGCACTCCCAGAGCCTGCTGCAGCCGCTCTCGTGGCTCCTGGAGCACCCTGTTCTCATCCGCCCATTCCGCGGGGGGGCTTCACATGCCGGGGTAGACGCCCCCTAACTCACGGGCAGCTTCTTGGGGCCACAGTTGAGTTATTGTTGTATAACCCAAACCCAAGGATATCCATTCCTAGGAAAAATGACTCAATTTTGACCAAAGTAAAAAATGCTGGGAAAACTAGAAAGCAATTTAGCAGATATCAGGTTATAAACTCAAAAAAGTAACTTTTTTTAAAAAAAAAAGCTTTTGCATTGACAAAATTGATGTAGCTATGATTAGAAGAGAATCAGTCAACTGGAAATGAAGCATTGGAGTAAATCTCCGATAAAGGTAGGATGTCTAAGCTACGTTGGGAAGTGATACATTTGGAGGCAACATGGTAGAGTGAGAAGAGCATTGACTGTGGAGTCAGGAGGACCTGCACATCCGGGCGTGTATCTCAGCTCCACCACTTCCTACTTTCGCCTTTGGTAAATCACATAACGTCCCTATGACTTTTTAACCTGTAAATTTAGGGAAGTGTAGTAGTTGGCCTCTTGAGTTCCGATTAGCTCCAGAATGATAATCCTATGTGACAACAAAGGATATTCCCCAATTGGAAAGTGCTCAGAGAAGGTAAAGGAGTAATTTTCTTTCTTTTTTAAAAAAATATACTTTGTTGCTAGCTTTTGCTTTTACCTCACCTTCATTTCCCAATGTATCCCTTTTGCCTTACCCCGGTCCCAGAAAGCCAGCCTCTATAACAGAATAAAGACATGGGGGATGGGGTGAAGGCTGTTCAGCAAAACAAATCAATATGATGAAACATTATCTATAGTGGTCCGTGACTATAGGGAGTTGCCTTCTCATATCTCTTATTTGAGGCCAAGTTTAGTTGTTAAAATTTCATAGCATTCACTTTCTATAGTCTTGTAATGTTTTCTACTTGTGTTGTTATAGTAATTGTGTATGTTATCTTCCTGGTTCTGCTTACTTCATGTCTTCCCATGATTCTCTGCATCCCTTATAGAGTTTCTTAAGATGGAATGAAATATTCCACTACATTCATGTGCAACTTTGAAAAAAATTTCCTAATATGTAAATATCTACCTTTATTTACAGTTCTTGGTCAGTCAACAAATATTTATTAAGTGCTTACTAGTTATCAGACACTGTGCTAAATGTGGGAGATACAAGGAAAGCCAAAAATGTTGTCCCTGCCCTCAAAACTCTCATTCTGATGGAGAGACAGGTCAATTATTAGATATGAGCAATCAGAATATTGAGAAGCAGCAAGCTATTAAAGAAAAGGTCATTTAAAAAATCTTTAGTATAACATTTGCCATCTTCTCCGGTCTCCTTTCCCAATTTTAGATTCTTTAATAAGATAGCAATATGGTCCTATGCTAGTTCAGATCACCACGAGTACCAGGAACAACTGTATTTATTACCTTACAAAATGTAGTCAGTTATAGCAATGTGAAGAGCAATATGATCATATATGGTAACATCAGTCATTGCCAGAGTATTGTATCTGAGTATGCACACTTTGCAAATATTTTTTAAGTGTCAGCTCTTCCATTTTTTTCCTTAAAATTTTTAAATGTTTTATTTTTCCTAATCACATGTAAAAACAATTTTTAACATTCATTTTTTAAAATTTTGAGTTCTAAATTCTATCCCTCTCTCTTTCCCCTTCCCCTTCTCTGAGGCAGTTAATAATCTCTTGTAGGTTATGCACATTCAATCATGTAAACCATTTCCATATTAGTCATTTTGTAGAAGAAAACTCAAACCAAAAAAGACAGACAGAAATAGCATGTTTTGGGCTGTATTCAGTTGCCATCAGTTCTTTCTCTGGATGTGAATAGCATTTTTCCTCACAAGTCCTTTGGGATTGTCTTGGATCATTGTACTGTTGAGAATAACCAAGTCATTCACAGTTGTTCATCATACAATACTGTTATTACTGTGTACAATGTTCTTACTTCACTCTGTATCAGTTCATGGAAGTCCACGTTTTTCTCAAATCCTCCTGCTTTTCATTTTGTACAGTACATTATTATTCTTTTATAATCACATACCACACAGCCTGTTCAGGCGTTCCCCACTTACTGGGTATCCCCTCATTTTCCAATTCTTTACCACCACAAAAAGAGCTGCTATAAATATTTTTATATAAATAGCTTATTTTCCCTTTTTAAAAGAAGTCTCTTTGGGATACAGACCTAGTAGTGGGATTGCTGGCTTAAAGTGTATGCACAGTTTGATAGCCCTGTGGTTGTAGTTCTAAATTTGTCTCCAGAGTGGCTTGATCAGTTCACAACTCCACCAGCATTCTATTAGTGTCCCAGTTTTCCCACATACCCTCTAACATTTTTCATTTTCCTTTTTTGTCATATTAGCCAATCTGATAGGGGTGAGGTGATATCTCAGAGTTGTTTTAATTTTCATTTCTCTAATCAATAGTGATTCGGAGCATTTTTTCATATGACTATAGATAGCTTTGATTTCTTCATCTGAAAACTTCCTGTTCATTTCATTTAATCGTTTATCAATTGGGGAACGACTTGTATACTTATAAATTTAACTCAATTCACTGTATGTTTGAGAAAAGAGTCTTTTATCAGAGATACTTTCTGTAAAAATTTTTTTCCCAGTTTTCTGCTTTCCTTCTAATTTTGGTGCATTGGTTTTGTTTGAGCAAAAACTTTTTAATTTTATGTAATCAAAATTATCCATTTTACATTTCATAATGCTCAATATGTCTTGTTTGGTCCTAATTTTTTCCCTTATCCATATATTCGACAACTTAACTATTCCATACTCTCCTAATTTGCTTATAGTATGACTCCTTATGCCTAAAGCATGTACCCATTTTGACCTCATGTTGGTATACAATGTAAGATGTTGATTTCTATATAGTTTCTGCCATACTATTTTCCAGTTTTCTCAGTAATTTTTGTGAAATAATGAGTTTTTTCCAAAACCTTGCATCTTTGAGTTTATCAAACACTAAATTACCATGATCATTTACTACAATATATTGTGTACCTAATCTGTTCCACTGATCCACCTATTTCTTAGCCAGTACCACGTTGTTTCAATAATTACCATTTTGTAATACAGTTTGAAATATGGTATGGCTAAGCTACCTTCTTTCACATTTTTTTTTCATTTATTCCTTTGATATTCTTGACCATCTGTTCTCCCAAATGAATTTTGTTATTATTTTTTCCAACTCTATAAAATAATTTTTGGTAGCTTGATTGTTGTGGCACTGAATAAGTAGGTCAATTTAGGTTAAATTGTCATTTTTTATTGTGCGTGGCTCTGCCTACCCCTGAACAATTGACATTTTTTCCATTTGTTTAGATGTGACTTTATTTGTGTGAGAAGTGTTTTGTAATTGTGTTTATATTTTCCTAGGTTTGTCTTGGCAGGTAGACTCTCAACTATTTTATATTGTTTACAATTGTTTTAAATGGGGTTTCTCCTTCTATGTCTTGCTGCTGGACTTTGTTGATCATATAAGGAAATGCTTATGATTTGTGTGGGCTTATTTTATATCCTGCAACGTTGCTAAAGTTGTTAATTATTTCAAGTAGTTTTTTAGTTGATTCTCTAGGATTCTTTAAGTATACCATCATATCATCTGCAAAGAGTGATAGTTTTGTTCATTGTTTATTCCAGTTCCTTCAGTTTCTTCTCTTATTACTATGGTTAGCATATCCAGTACAATACTGAATAATAGTGTTTAGTTGGGGATTTTTAATTTGTTCTTTTTCTAGGTTTTTTTTTTAGTTGCATTTGATCTGCTCTTTCTCTATTTTATTGATATAAGCATTTAGAGATATAAATTTCCCCCTAAGTACTACTTTGGTTGCCTCCCATACATTTTGGTATGTCATCTCATTGTTGTCATTCTCTTTAATAAAATTATTGGTTTTTTCTGTGATTTGTTTTTAGACTCATTTATTCTTCAGGATTAGATTATTTAGTTTCAAATTAATTTTTAATCTGTCCTTCCACTGCCCCTTTATTGAATGTAATTTTTTTAATTGCATTATGATCTGAAAAGGATGTATTTAATATTTCTGCTTTTCTGAATTTGGCTGTGACATTTTTATACCCATGGTCAGTTTTTGTGTAGATGCCATGTACTGCTGAAAAAAGGATATATTCCAGGGGTATGAAACCTGCTGTGTTGATTTTATAATTGAGTCAGTATCTGCCTAAACCAGAGGTGGGGAACCTGGGGCCTCAAGGCCACATGTTGCCCTCTAGGTCCTCAAGTGAAGCCTTTTGGCTAAGTCTAAGTTTTACAGAACAAATCTTTTTGTTATGGGGATTTGTTGTGTAAAACTTGGACTCAGCCAAAAGGGCACCTCCAAGGACCTAGAAGGCCACATGTGGCTTCCAGGTCACAGGTTCCCCACCCCTGGTTCTATTCCCATTCAGTTTTCTCCAGAGAACTATGATATATAACTTTTCTAAAATTCTATTCACCTCCTTATCTTCTTTCTTGTTTAATTTGTGGTTAGATTTAGCTAGTTCTGAGAGGGGAGAGATGAAGTCCCTCAGTGGTATAGTTTTACTATTTCCTCTTGTAACTCATTTAATTTCTCCTTTAAAAATGTAGATGCTGTACTGTTTGTTGGGTATATGTTTAGTATTGCTATTACTTCACTGTCTATGGTACCTTTTAGCATGATATAATTTCCTTATTTATTTTAATTAGATCTAATTTTGCTTTTGCTACCTTTTTTTTAACTTCAGTTGAAGTATAAAAGATTCTGCTCCAGCTTATTACTTTTACTTTTTGTGTGTCTCTGTGTTTCAAATGTGTTTCTTATAAACAGCACATTTTAGGATTCTCAATTTTAATGCATTCTTCTATCTGCTTCCATTTTATGGATGAATTCGTCCCATTCACATTTACAGTTGTGATAACAGTGTGTTTCCTTCTGTCCTATTTTCCCCTTGTTTATCCTTCCCTCTCTTTCACCCTGTCCCTCCTCACAAGTGTTTTACTTCTGACCACCACCTTCCCCAATCCACCCTCCATTTTATCAGTCCCCCATTCTTTTATCCCCATCACTTTTTATTTCCCTGTAGGTGTAAGATAGATTTCTATATCTAACTGAGTATGCATATTATTCCCTCTTTGAGCCAATTCTAATGAGAGTAAGGTTCAAGTGTTGCCTGCCATCCCCCACCCTCATCTTCCCCTCCACTGTAATAGCTCTTTTGCACCTCTTTTATGTGAGATAATTTACTCCATTCTATCTCTGCCTTCCTTCTCCCAGTGCAATCTGGGAGCTCTGGAATTTGGCTATGATATTCCTGGAGGTTTTACTTTTGGTATCTCTTTCAGATGGTGATCAGTAGATACTTTCAGTTTCTATTTTGCCTTCTGGTTTTAAGATATCACGGGAGTTTTCCTTGATAATTTCTTGAAATATGATGTCCAGGTTCTTTTTTAGATCATGGCTTTCAGGTAGACCATTAATTTTTAAATTCTCTCTCCTCAATCTATATTCCAGGTCAGTTGTTTTTCCAGTAAGAATTTTCACATTTTCATCTATTTTTTCATTGTTTTTATTTTCTTTTATTGTTTCTTAA